CCGATTCGTTCATTCTTGTACACAGCATGTAGCGAGTGCGTTCCGTGTCCTGGGCCCAGGGACACCGAAGTGATGGGGACTAAGGCCTGCCCAGGGCTGAGGTCTCCCCACTGTGTGCATCCAGGCTTTGGGAAGTGGGCCAACAGCAGCTGCTGGACAGTGCCAGAACTGCTCTGCTCTCTCCCGGGAACCTTCTGGCTGAGCTTCCCTGCAGTGGCCACCCAGTGGGGGTTGGGTTGTGTGGGACAGAGGACAGCTAGAGGATAGAGGTCTCCACTGACTCCCGGTAGATACATTGGGCCAAATCTTCCAAAGTCACCTAACGCTGCACACCCTGGTCCGCCCCGCGGCCTCCACCAGCACTGCCTGCCATGCCTGGTTTGCTGCTCCGTAATCCAGCGACTCCTGCAGTTCCGGCACGTTCGGATGTGTCCCGAAAGAAAACCAGTGCTTCCTAAACGGAAAAGGACAAACGTCAGTTGGAAAAGATGCATGGCCTTCAAACAAACCCCTGGACCAGGGAGAAACTCCCTGTTCCCAGGACAGATGGGAAAGTCAGAGGCCTTTAAGACATCATTTCCAAAATTAAATCGCAGAAAGATACCTGCCGGATGTGAGGAGATTATCTGTATTCTATTCTTGGGGCCAAGGAGCAAATCAGCTGCAGAACATGTTTTGAAATGTCTCTTTGTTATGAATGTGGTCCATGAAAATACAGAGCCATCAGCAGGACGCGACCCTCCCCCTGCAGGATGAAGAACCTCTCGTGATATCATTCAAGCCCCACGAGCCGAGCTGCGGAGAGCAAACGGCAGCTTCATACAGGCTGCGGGTGCTGATGAAATGGAAAAGGCACTTCACACATCTTGCACACGCAAATTGCATCAGGCGGAGTATTTTTTGCAAAGAATGAAGCACTTCCTCCTCCTCAGCTCCTAGGGGGTCTGGAGCAGGGACTGCAGCCTCGGGCTCCTCTGGGAACAACACAAATGCAAACACAGCATGTCTTCCCCAGGCGCCTCCGGACACTCCGCCCACTCCTTGTGGGGGCAACTCCTGGTCCCAGTGACCTCCCAGGGCCAGGCAGTAACCTTCGTGGCTGGACACACTCGGCCCAAGCAGCCCCTGGTATCTGTAGACTCCAGTTCCGGAGGGCACCTTGGGCACAAGTGACCCTTGGCATCTCACAGAGTCCCTTGGGATCTCACGGGGTCCCTTGGGTGCTGGCTCCTGTGGTGGCTGTAGTGTCATCCATCCTGCTGGTGTTTATAAATCTCCTGAACCCTCCACGGAAACGCTGTCTGCGAGGGCTGACCCCCTTTATGTCTGCTGTCCTGGCTAGAACCTCGAGTGTCTTTGCAAAGCTGGAGGAAGGAGCAGGGTTCCAGGTCCAGGGGCTGTCAGCCGTGGACGTCCAGGTCTGCAACGCTGGGGGCGGCCTGTGCTGCCGACCAGCCCCTAGCCCCGCGGGAAGGGCAACGGGAGGAGCCTGGCCCTGGAAGGTTCCCCACTGTGGTCTGGGGCAGGATGGGGCTGGCCCCTTCTGCAGTTCTGGATACTGGTGCTTTAGGGAAAGGCCTTGGGTTTCAGCTACAGCCTGAGACTGCCTGTGTGACTTCCCCAGTGATGTTGAACACGTGTGCGCATCTCCCTGGTCGTGGGCACCATCCTGGCACCAACTAAGCGTCCCAGTCTGTTCCCGGGCACCTCCCCTCCCTTGGGGAGTGTGGAGAGAAGAGCCAGGCACAGCTTTGCCCCCGAGGCAGCAGGAGGCCTTTCCTAGGGCCTGGAGGCATCTCTGCCTCCCCAGAAGCAGCTCCTAGTTCTGAATACCCAAGAGCCAAGGGCAGAGAGGACGCCAGAGGGGTGTGGAGCGTGTCCGTCTCCTAAACAGCGCTCCTCCCCGTGAACCAGAGCCCGATCATGTCTGCTTGGTTCCGAGGTGCTGTTTGTGGTGAGTCCCCATGCAGGGCAGCGGAGGGAGGTGGTGACGGCTGTAACACACCAAGATCGGAGCCGCCGGCCTCTCCCACATTGACATTCTGCGCGCTGCCTGTATGTGACCAAGTCTCCCTCCGGAGTGCTGGGCCCTGCGTCAGCGTCAGAAAAGCTACAGACAAGATGGAAATCATGCATCTCCCGACCCTGAACCCAGGAGGCTGTGCCAGGCATTAGGTAGCTGGTCAGCACGTCAGACATACAGGATCGCTGGGAGGGAGGAAGAGACCCCTTCGCTCTGCTCTCCCCGCTGCAGTCAGGGCCTGCCTCCCACGCCTGCCAGCTGGGGCCATGGCTGGCTGCATGGGCCCTGTGCCCAGTGTGAGTCCAGGAGCCCCGGGCTCAGGCCCCTCCGCCCTGCACCCCTGTCCTGCTTCTGATGGTGGGACAGTGGCCCTGGCTGTGCTCACCCACTGACCAGCAGCATACTGTCTCCGTCCCGGCAGCAGCTGCGCGAGGCAGGCTTTCCTGTCACACTCGCAGAGGACAGACGCTCAGGCCTGGAGTGGCTTGCACGGTGTGGCCACAGCCCTGCTGACCGCCCCTCCACCCCCTGCAGGAGCATGAAGGATTGGATGCAGCCAGACGGGGCCACTCTGTCAGTACCCAGCCTGTGCCAAGCCACAGCAGGATGTCCTGAGGGCAACCTGGAGAAAGGAGGGCTGGGCCCTGGGCTCCCCCCCACCTTTGGGGGACGGTCACCAAGGGGAGGTGCTGGGCACATGGCAGCCTCAGGGAGCACCTTCCCGGACTAGCTGTAGGCCCATCCCAAGCTACATCCCCTGCCCCTCCCCCTGGGCCAGCCCGGCCCCCTGCAGGGCTCTGTGTAAAACTCCTTCAGTGTGTCCCCTGCCTGCCCCTGCCCCCTGCCCCTCCCCCTGCGCCCTGCCCCTCCCCCTGCGCCCTGCCGCCTGCAGGGGTCCGTGTAAAGCTCCTTCAGCAGCACGGGACCTCGAATGCCATCCATGTCCCACACCTCGCGTCTCAGGGTCTGCGGTGGGGCACCCAACCAGGGTCTCTCCCCAGGTCTCCCACCAGCCTCAAGGTGGCCCCTCGTGCCCCTGGGCCCCTGCCTGTCCAGCAGCGGCAGCTGGGGCTCCCTGTCCGCTGGGAGCACTTATTCAAGCATGAGATTTTGGCAGGGGGGCCTTTGGGAACACCTCACTTCTCCCCAAGGGCCACACAGGGGATGGCAGAGGGTCCCTGGGAAAGTGTGGATACTCATGGGTCCCTGGGGAGCCCCTGGCACGCCGCTCTGTAGCTGGATGTGAGTTGAGCAGTTCAGCCGTGTGAAGGCTCCGTGACACCGGCCAGGACACACATGGAGTTACGGAGTTTTTTAGTTTAGTTGCCTTCTAGTGGTAGTGAAATCGTGCTGACTTGCACGGATGTTCCAGCGTAGGCTCCACTCGTCGCCCTTCCCGGCCCCACTCACATCCTAAGGGTGCTCAGGCCCCTCAGGGGAAACCAGACCTCTGAGTGTCCCCACCCTGCCCCTAGCCATGGAGTGGCCATGGCTGAAGTAGAAGAGATTCAGAGGCTGACAGCCGAGGGGAGGTTTGAACCTCACTCAAATCAGTGGGAGCCGACACTCATTTCAGCATCGCCCACCCTGTCTGGGTAGGAGGTGACTTCGCCTCCGCGTGGCCTGCCGTGGGGCTTCTTCCTGCAGCGGGCTCTCCTGGGTGCTCCAGGAAGACAGAGCTGGGACAATGCGTGCCACTCCAGAAGTGAGTCTTCAGCTTAGGTCTCCTCCCGGCCTCGGTTTCTGACTCCTTCGTGTTAGGAAGGAGGCCCCCAGGAGGAAGCACGCACTTTGGCAATGAGACGTTTTAATTGCATCTTAAAATAGCATTGCAGTAAAGAACACCAAACCGTGACTAACCAATTGCGCTTCAGGAAGCCCTCAGCACAGTCAGACACGGGGATGCGCGGAAAAGCTGCCCACTCGTGGACGCCTATCAAGCCCCCTCAGGAGGGGCTGGATGACAGAGGAGGTCTACACCCCACCTGGGCCCCATCCCCAGGTTCAGCCTTCATCGTGGCCTCCCTGGCCGTGAGGGATGTCTCCGCAGGAGCTCCCCAGGTCCAGCTTTGCCTGAATGTGGAAGACAGAGGGAAGTGTGTTGCTGTTTAGTTGATTTACTGCTGAAGCACCTGTAAGGCCCAGGAAGACAGAGAAAGAGGCCAGAAAGAGCATCATTCTGCAGGGTTCAAGGTGAACCTGGCTTGCTTTCAGAGGAGTAGGGCAGCGAGGGCACCCAGACCCTAATTGCACAGGATCCCAGAACTGTGCCATCGGGGCCTCATGTGTGGTCTTGGTGGAGAATGACCAGGGCTGTTCTCCAGCCCCTGTCCTCCAGATGGTCCCCAGAGGGACTCACACGCTCAAGGAATGCGCTACTGGGAAGCCAAGATGCCATTCAGTACCAGCTGCCCCACTGCAGGCTTCGCTCGAGGACTGTGCTGGAGCCTGGCCTCGGACTCACCCCAGCCTGCCCCTGAGCTCCAGGCAGCGCACCCCTCCCCGTCCAGGAGCCAGCCCCAAGGCAGCCCGTGTGCTGAGCCGCAGGGAGGGCCAGCGTGGGCGAGGGGCTGATGTGTGGGGACGCAGCTGCGCAGCACTCAGAGGCCCTGCCCACCCTCCCCTCCGGGACACAGCCTGGCCATCCCCTGGGCCTCGGCTGCCTTGCAGGGGCCCGGGTGAGGAGTGGGAGGTGGAGGCCTGCAGGTGTAGGCAGTGGCTGCTCAGTAAACGATGGACCTAGCAATGGACGAAGGCCTTCCTTGGGGACCTGAAGACGTGCAGCAGTCTGTCCCTCACGGGCTTGGGTGGTTCCAGTTACTCCACTCGCTAGGGGACAGGCCGGGGGGGCAGTGAGCACGCGGCATTGTGGCAGCTCAGGCATGAATGCGCCGGAAGGGATTCTGGCGGCCTGTGGACTGGGAGAACCCTTTCCAGCTGCCGAGAGTTGCCCTCTGGATCCTGAGTGCAGGGCCAGGCCTGGCTGTGATGGCTGAGGCCGGACTGCGGAATGCAAGGCTGCCTCAGGCCTCCAGGGCCGGAGCCGCAGGGAGCTGCTGAGTTTCCACAGGGCCACGGGGGCTGCGGCCAAATGGAGCGGGGGCACAGGTGGGAAGGGCGTCTGTGAAAAGTGAAATCTGTTGCCACTTCCTCTAGCTTAATTACCGGCATGGCAGTTGCAGAGTTGAAATGCAGCTTGGAAAGCCTTTGTGAGTAATTAGTGTCAAACACACAAGATCTACAAAGCCATAAACTCACAGCTTGGTGATATTACCAAGTACTCATTAAGAAAGAAAAAAAGAAAATTCCCTTTCATGATCAGATTTTCAGCCCTGCCAAAGATGAAAAACAAGGCAATTTGCAGCTGATGGCGACGCCGGAGGGTGAGTGGCGTCCACAGGAAGATGGCGTCCGAGTGCGGCGAGCAGGCAGGGCCTGGTGAGGGCTGGGTGGTGACGGCATGATTGTGCCTGGCTACCGGGTTCTCGGCCAGGGAGCACCTGATTCCCAGCAGAGATGGAATCCCAGCTCAGGAAGGTGAGACTCCTGTGAGGGCAGAGGCGAGGCACCCAGCCAGAAGGATTGGGGGTCTCCCCATTTCACAGGCGGGGACACTGAGGCTGAGCTCACAGCCAGGACAGGGACAGCAGAGTCACAGCCGAGGCCATCTGCCCCACAAGGGAAGCAGCGCCCGCCTTCCTTGGTGGTCGGGGAAGACTGGACTGGCCCCTTGGGTCCCCACCAGCCTCAACCACTGTGGGTTCGTCCAACTTCAAGCAAGTGTCAGGCCACTGGCCTGGGAGGCCCTGAGAACGACAGCTTCTGTCTCGTGAGTGACATGGTGCCCACTTTCATCCTGGGGCCCACAGCTGTCAGGAGAGGTCGGGCCGAGGCCAGGAGGCTCAGCAGCTGGTTCCATGACTTTCTCTTTGCCGAGGAGGTCAGGACAGAAGCTTCTAGTTGACAGGCCGCTCAACTTGGTATAAAACAGAAAATTTCTGTGCCTGTGCTGCCGGGCTGTGAATGATTTCTCGTCTGTTTCATGAGACTCAACTTCAGCCCAGGCAGGCATCAGATGCGGCCGGGCGAGACGCGGAGCCAGGAGTCGTCCTCGCCCCCCGTGTGAGTGACTGGAGAGACGAAATTCTCAAAGTCATGTCACTTACGGGGATATTTTTAACCCAGGACCAGGGAAGCACAGCTCTTATTGGTGGCCGTGTGCTCTGGCGCATGGGCAGCGGGCAGCAGCCAGGCTATCAGGACGTGCTCAGGCCCAACAGGGCCCCCAGAGCCGCACCTGTCCCCCACAGAGTAGAGCCGGCCCGGGAGCAACCTTGGCCACATCTCCTCCCACCAGCCGCCAGCAGTGGAGAGCTGTGCCTGGCCCAGAGATGTGGGCATCACATCCAGGCTGCAAACGCACAGGGACTACCTGGCCCACCAGGGTTCGCTGTATCCTGGCTTGGCCTGCATGGCCTCTCGCCGTCTGCACGGTTCACTCACCCAGGACAGGGCTGGGGCATGCGGGGAGTGTGTAGTGACGCTGGGCGGAGGGAGGCTGCTCAGGTCCAAGTAGGCAGAGAAACCGCATGCCCAGGCCGCTAAGGCCTTGAGCTGCAGGAGCTCTGAGCTGCTGTGGCTGTTTTGTTTTGTTTTCAGACGGAGTCTCATTCTGTCGCCCAGGCTGGAGTGCAGTGGCGCAGTCTTGGCTCACTGCAACCTCTGCCTCCCGGGCTCAAGTGATTCTCCTGCCTCAGCCTCCCCAGTAGCTGGGATTACAGGCACCCGCCACCATGCCCAGCCTCTTTTTGTATTTTTAGTAGAGATGAGTTTTGCCATATTGGCCAGGCTGGTCTTGAACTCCTGAGCTCAGGTGATGCTTCTGCTTCGGCCTCCCAAAATGCTGGGATTACAGGTGTGAACCACCGCACCCAGCTTGTTTTACTGTTTATGACGTGGCTCTGTTGCCACTAGGACAGATACTTGTACAGCCCGATTCAAAGACTGTGCAGAGGCATCTCCCAGATACCCCAGGGCGCACTGCAGTCAAGGAAGGCTCCGTGGAGGAGGTGGCCTGGAGCTGGGGTTCACGGGTGAGTTAGAGTTTGTCTGGCTGGGTCGGGGAGATGTTTCTGGCTGCAGGACGTCACGTGCTCATGCTCACCGGCTCCAGGGCACCTGGTGTGCAGGGAGAGTGCAGGGGTAGGCCTTGGGCTCCAGGCCAAAGTTGGGGGAAGAGAGTGTCAGACCTGGGCTTGAGGGACAACTCTAATGTTGTCATGGGGGGACGTTGAGGAAAGGGTGGGGTGTGGCTCACTTGTCTGACCCTCGCCCATGTGGAGTGCCCGCCGTGCTGGGCCCCGCTGCAGGTGCTGGACGCGCAGCAGTAATGCAGGGGTCCTGCCCCACCTGGGCACGTCTTCCAGCAGGGATTGGAGGGCCGAGGCCCAGGCAGGTTCTGTGCTCCATGCCCGGGTGGTTATGGGGGAGGAGGGAGCCTGGGCCCTGGCCGTGGGTGGACCTATGGCTTGTTGACCTGATGCCCAGCTGCCCCACCTCCCAAGCTGTAAGAAGCCAGGACCAGCCCCTTCCTCCATCCAGATGGTCTCTGACGTTGCCCTGGTGGCGGGGAGGGGTGGGGGATGTTCTAACTGAAGGGCCTGGGCAGCCTGGAGCCCGTCTGTATCTTCTGGCCAATGGTTTTATCTCGTCTGCTGCCTCCCAAGCCTGCACATCCCATCGTGCACACATTTAAACTGTTAGAAATTTGACTACTTAGTCAAATTCCTTTGAATAAGCCAGAAACGCTCTCTATGGCCCTGTGGATGTGCCTCCAGTTCCCCAGGACATTCTGTTTTGGAGCCTTTGCGAAGAGGCTGGGGGTCTGTCAGCCCCACTCGGAAGCAAAAAGGCTGGTTCCCCACCCCGGTCCCAGCTTCTCCTGTGGGCAGCTGGCCTGAGAGCCGAGCCACTCCCCAGGACATGGCACTGGGCAGGCGGGACACTTTCCTGCCAGGCAGGAGGTGGAGCCTTCCCCGGGACCCTGAGTGTCTGTCCTGGGTGGGGACTAGACAGTGACCACCACCTTGACCCAGGGCAGGCCCACCTAGGGCACCCCCCACCACCACCAAACCCTGCTCCACCTGCACCAAGCTGCGGCCAGCCCCTTTTGCCGCTAGCCTAAATGACTGTGAGGAGTCTATGGGGGAGGGCCTTCCTGTCGCTCTGAAGAGCAGGAACAGGACATCCCTGCCCCAGGTCTCAGAGGTGGCTGGCCATCTGCGAGTGGGACCCGCGGCCATTGGCCAAGCTTAGGCCACATGAGCTGGGACTGGCAGGCAGTTCCTGGCTGCCTCAGATCTGGGGTCCAGACCCTCTGGCCTCGCAGAGCCTGGCGTGTCTTTGCACACTCTGTCCTTGCCCCCAGCCTCCCCGCCTCCCCGCCAGGGTGTACCTGGAACCTTAGATAGTCTTACCTGTCAGTCATAACTTCTTCTCAGCCAGGGACCGTGGACGGCGGACATTCACCCTGTGGTCAGTGGCTGGGCCTTTCTTATGAAGCAACTTGAGATGTCATCTACAGAGCCGTGCAGCCATCACCACAGTCTATCTTGGAATGCCTTTATCACCCCGGAAGGAAATCCTGCCCCGTAGCCATCTCCTCCCAGTCCCAGCCATTGGCAGCCGCTGTCTGCGTTCTGTCTCTAGACTGCCCACCTGTGGCGCTGCAGGGAGATGGGCTCAGTGGCGAGTGGTCTCTGGCGTCTGGCGTCTTTCGCTGAGCGTAAGGTTTTCACGGTTCGCTCACATTGGACCATTTGCTGACGCTCCATTTGTTACCGATGAATCCTGCGGTCTGTTGTGTGGATAGACCGCCTTGTTTATCCGTTCATGAGTGGATAGAACATTTGAGTTGCTTCCGTTTGGGGCTTTTACACACAGTGCCGCTGTGAACATTCGTGGACAAGCTTGTGTGTGGAAATGCATTTTCGTTTCTCTCGGGTGTACACCCATAAGAGGAAGTGCTGGGTCACGTGGTAATTTGACGTTGAGCTTTGTGAGGAGCTGCCTGTTCTCCCAGTTTCTCCCCGTCTTCCCCAGCACATGTCACTGTCTGGTTTCTTTTCTTTTTCTTTTTTTTGAGACGGAGTCTCGCTCTGTTGCCCCGGCTGGAGTGCAGTGGTGCAATCTCGGCTCACTGCAAACTCCGCCTCCTGGGTTCACGCCATTCTCCTGCCTCAGCCTCCAGAGTAGCTGGGACTACAGGCGCCCGCCACCTCGCCTGGCTAATTTTTTTGTATTTTTAGTAGAGACGGGCTTTCACTGTCTTAGCCAGGATGGTCTAGATCTCCTGACCTCGTGATCTGCCCGTCTCAGCCTCCCAAAGCGCTGGGATTACAGGCGTGAGCCACCGCCCAGCCTTCTTTTTTTTTTTTTTGAGATGGAGTCTCATTCGGTTGCCCAGGCTGGAGTGCAGTGGCTCCGCCTCCCGGGTTCACGCCATTCTCCTGCCTCAGCTTCCTGAGTAGCTGGGACTACAGGCGCCCGCCACCATGCCCGGTTAATTTTTTGTATTTTTAGTAGAGATGGGGTTTCACCATGTTAGCCGGGATGGTCTCCATCTCTTGACCTCGTGATCCGCCCGCCTTGGCCTCCCAAAGTGCTGGGATTACAGGTGTGAGCCACTGCGCCCGGCCCACTGTCTACTTTTATGATGCTTTTCCATCCCAAGGGCTGCAGGTGCCGCTGGGTTAGAGGGTCCGTGAACCTCCTGAGATTCAAATGTAAAATGTGCAGTGGGTGTTGCGTGGGTTTCGGGTAGAGGGACTGTGGCCCCGGCACGAGGTTAGGAACACGTTTCCCAGTCTAGGCAGAGCCTTGCGGGAATCGCCTCTAGAGGCCCGAGAGGGAGCAGTTGTGGCTGGAGGAGCAGCACGCTGCCGTGTTTCACCAGGCCGGCCTGTGACAGCTGGACCTGCCCCCGATGCCACCGCCTTCTCCTGCCAGGGCTTCCCTGTTTGCTGAGCCAGCGTTATTGATGTGTCGCTGTCTGTATACACGCACCCGTGAGGCCCTCACCACAGTCAAGACAGTGAACAGACCCTTCGCCCCCAGATCCCAGGCCCCTGTGCAGCCCGCCTTGCCCCTCCCACTGTAACCCGACCCCAGGCAGCCACGGATCCTTCTGTGTTTCCTGTCATCACGGGTTCATCCACGTTTTCTAGAGTTTCTGTAAGTGGAATCACGCAGCATCTAGCCTTTCTTGTCTAGGTTCTTCCACTAAGCGTAATTAGTTTGAGATTTATCCATGTTGCTATGGTATCAACAGTTTATCCCTTTAAAATCATAGGGATAGATCACAATGTCTTCATCCATCCAGATGTTGACGGGCGTTCCGGTGGCTTCCAGCATGGGGCACGGGCTTCCCGGTGGCTTCCAGCGTGGGGCACGGGCGTCCCGGTGGCTTCCAGCTTGGGGCACAGGCATTCCGGTGGCTTCCAGCGTGGGGTGTGGGCGTTCCGGTGGCTTCCAGCGTGGGGCACGGGCGTTCTGGTGGCTTCTAGCTTGGGACTGTTGCACATAAAGTGCACAGTGACCATTCACATGCAAGCTTTGCACGGACATTTATTTCCTTTTCTCTTGGCTAAATCGGTGTGAAACTGCTTGATTGCATGGTCAGTGTAGGTTTAACTTTACCAGACGTTGCCAAGCTGTTTTCCAAAGCGCCTGCACCGTTTTACACTGCTGTCAGCATTGTGGGAGACTTCTGGTTTCTCCATGCGGTCACCAGTACTTGACGTGATCAGTCTTTTTCATTTCAGTCCTTCTGAGAGGTGACTGACGGCATCTCACTGCGGTTTTAATTTGCATTTTCCTCATGATGACGTTGAGCATCTGTTCACGTGCAGACTTGCTGCTCTTTGGGGAAGTGCCTGTTCACATCTTTTGCCGATTATTTATTGGGTTATATGTTTTCTTACTGAGTGTTGAGAGTTTTTTGTATACTCCAGATGCAAATCCTTTATATGTTATCCTAATGTATATATAAAATGTATTTATATGTACGTTGCCGGTGTTCTCTCCTCGTGCATGACATGTCTTTTCATTCTCTTAATG